CATAGTTTTCATTTGCTTTATGTTGTGCTCTCATATGCAGATTTCTCCATTGCTCATCACCTAGAACAGATTTTTGTACCCATATAGAATCATGGAATCACTTAGGTTGGAAAAGACCTCTAAGATTAAGTACAACCGTTAATCCAGCACTAGGTCCACCGCTAAACCATGTCCCCATCTACATGTCTTTTGGACACTTTCAGGTATGGTGGCTCCACCACTTCCTTAGACAGCCTGTTCCACTGCTGGACCACTGTTTTGGTGAAGAAATTTTTCCTAATATCCAATTTAAACCCCTACTGGTGCAATGCGAGGCCACTATAGTGGGTATAAGGTATTATCACTATGATCTAACAGTAATTAGTTTGCTCATTTTATATTCATATAAAAGCAAGGCAGTGGGCAACTTAGAACCATGATTACAATGTAAAACTGATTAAAAAAATACATTTCAAGTATGTATTAATCTTGTGCATTATATATTATTAAGTTTATTGAAATTATCATCTAAATTTTATCTCAGCATAGAGATAGATAGTAGAGCTGTAGTTACTGGCAAGCGTAATTAATTTGGTGGTTTATAAGCATAAAGTTCTCCAGGTATTGTTGCAAAATTCTTACGTGATAACTTGCATTTGTATTCCAAGTTAACTTGAAAAAAAAAGGAAAAATTATATGGAAAAGTGGGTGTTTTATGAAGATATAGAATAAACTATATTCCATAGGTTTTATCTACATGTAAGATACTCTACAAACGTGGCTAGAGCCCTTCCCAAATCTTCGTTTGCGAAGCCTAGCCATGATGATGATGAAGATACTCTAATTCTGTTAAATATGAAAATACATACAAAAATAAATTAGGCATTTTAAACTTGCTCACATGGGATTACCAGCTCTGGGGAAATCTACCAGTTTACTGATGCTAAGAACATAGTTTAGTTTCTCTTGGGTTGTAAATCTACACAACTCCTATTAAATTTAACAGAATTCCTTTGGCTTTCAATTGCTTTTGGAGGAGGGCCAAATGCTGACAGGTAACCTGATTAGTGTAGACGTTCATACCTGTAAAATCTTTCACTTTTAAAAGGTATATATTGCTTAAAGTTAGAATAAAATTAACATAACTTGAAGTAGTTACACTATCTGCAACTGTTAATTTGCAAATCATAGCATTTTAATCAAATGAATGCAGCAAACAAGGTTCATTTAACTCTTCAAAATCTGGAAAGGACTACTGAAAAGCACTTGTGACCTTTAGTTTAATGATGTCTACTGTCCCTTCTCATTACAGACTATTCAATTAGTGATTTACCTGTCTGGAAAATATGGTTTATTTAAGGAAAAGGAACTAAGAGAAATTTTTTTTTTTATTTTAAGAATGACTAATCTTTACAGTTTCCTACTGGGCAATAAAGAAAAAGTAAGGGGCTGCATGTAGCTCTCAACACAGTGAATTGTTTCTTAGGGCTTCCACGTTAAAAGCAGCATGAGGAAGTCCAAATGTTATTTGCCGAAAGACATTTTAAAAACAATTTTAGTTGGTTTTGTTCACAGCTGCAGAGAGGGCATGATGCATTGCTGAGGCCACTGATACACCTTTATTTGACCAAGGCAATAACTCTGACCTGCCTTGCTGGAAAGCAGATCAGCAGAGAATGACCAGGGGGTCCTGGTGGACACTAAGTTGACCATGAACCAGCAAAAAAAGCCAACAACTTCCTTGGCTGTACTAGGCAGGCTGTTGCCAGCAGGTCCAGGGAGGTGACCCTTCTCTGATCAACACTGGTGAGATATATCTGAATCTCTGTGTCCAGTTCTGGGCTTGCTGGTATAAGAGAAACATGGACGTATTAGAGCACAAAGAGCCATGAAGATGACTAAGGAAATGGAGCATCTCTAAATATGAAGAGAGGCTGAGAGAGTGGGAACTAAGGGATGAGTGAAGAAAACAGAGCTAGATGCTCACCCAGTGACAGGACAACACAAACTAATACGCAGGAAGTTTCATCAAGATCTAAGAAAAATGCCACTTTTTCTGTGAGAGTAACACAGGTTGCCCAGAGAGGCTGTAGAGTCGCCATCCTTGGAGACATTCAAAGCACAGTTGGACACTGTCCTGGGCCACCTGTTCTTGAAGACCCCACTCTTGAAGGAGGATTGAAGTAGCCGGTCACTAGAGATGCTTTCTAGTCTCAGCTGTGATATGATTCTGTGATTTCATGAAGAAGGTTAAATATATAAGACAATATTTTCACTGCACTTCATTACACATGCCAAGTGGTATGTTAATAACATAGGAAAGTTTACCCACTTCCATGATTAAACTTTTGAAAAACTGTCTTTGAATGCTTCTTAAGCTGCTGCAATATATTCTCTAACAGCCTTGAGAAAACCACAGTTTGGAAACTTAATTGTCTTCATGGAGATGAGAGAGGTAAAGTAAGTGATCCATTCAGGAAAAAATGTAAATACAAATTTCAAAGTTATAATTACAAGTATATAGGAAAGTCTAAATTTGGAAGAGGCTTCTGGAGATCACTTGGCTTGACCTTCTGGTGCAAGGGCTTTAGATTAGGTTATTCAGAGTCACGTGAAGCTGAATTAGCAGGGGAAATTGTACCATTTCTGTACCTATTCCACAAGGAAGAATATTTTTCTGAAATTTCCCCTGAAACAACTTGTGTTCCTGGTCTGTTGTCCTGTTTCCATGCATGGTGCTGAAGACAAGAGAGCACTTTCATTTTCTCTATAGCTATTTTTGATTTCTTTGAAGACAGTGATCTCCTCAAGACTTCTCCTGTGTGGGTTGCACAAGCACGTTCCCTTTTTGACCTCTCTTTGTGTGTCAGGTTGTCCAATCCTCTCATTGTTTTGGTGGCCCTTCACTGGACCATCTATATGCTTTCTGTCTCTTGAAGTGGGAGCATTTCACTCCATGTAGCCCATATGGGCATGTTTCTTCTGGTAAGACTTAGCAGTACAACAAGATTTTTTCAGAACTCTCTGAGGATCTCTCATATCCAGTTATAAGTATCAAAATAGATTTCCTACAGTTTAAAGAGAAATAAATCTCACTTTTATTGGATAATTTTTTAGAGTAGTGCAGAAAGGAGTTAGTCGCAAGGGTAATGTAAAGTATAAAAGGTTTGAACCTGTTCTTGCTGGAGACAAGGGGTATTCTGCCATTAACTTCATGGAAGGAGGAAATGACAGACAATTTTATAGAAGATGTACTGAACTGGAACTGTGGATAGTTAAAAGAAGGCAATCAGTCAACCTCCTGTGAAACAGAGAGCTGTGCAATAGCCCAGAGTGGAAAATAAACCCTGCTAAAGGCTCTTACAGAAACCTCCAGGAGAACAGACCTTTTTTACTGCCAGTACACAACTTTCTACCTGAGAGGCTGCTTACCTGCTTTTGTATGGAGAATTGGTCTTTGATATTTTTGTAGGAAGACATTGCAACTAGGCATAGCAAATCGTGGCCTCATTTTGTGAAGTTTGCCAGCATCCCTCCCTTAATGCCATTTTGCTTTAGAAGTCTGAAACTTGCTGAAATATTTGGGACTCTAGGCTTCTTTACCCCATTTTTATAGGAAAACTTAGAAGATGACAAGAAGTTAAATATGAGTATGTTTAGTAATCAGCAATCTTAACAAGAGTGCTCTTCCCCTTCAGGAAAATGGAGTGACTAGCTGGGACTTTGTATTCCCTGTTTAGTTTTGCCAAGGTGTAGATAGTACTAACCTTTTATCTGTCTGCTGTTAAATAAGGAACCGACCCTCAGTCCTGAGGCCAGTTGTTTTGCACTCCACAACAGATTATCTTGGGAACGCTAATGGCAAAGCTCCATAACAGAGCCAAGTGTCTTCATAAGCATAGTGCTTGACTGAGTATTTGGTGCTTGGATTTGGTACCTGGACCTCTTTTATTTATAATATAGATGTGTTTCTTGAATTTAAGCCCTTTCCTCAGAATCATATTTGTCTTTAGCAGTAGGAAAAAAAAAGAGAGACAGGAGCATCACCTGTTAAGTACTGGTTTCATGATGGAGCTTGAATCAATCATTAACAGGTTCTAAGAAAGGCATCAAAATTCAGTAGTACTATCTGTTATCAAAAAAAAAAAAAATCAAAGGTGTTGGCTTATAGAAGAAAAGCACTGAATCTTTTCCTGAGTAATAGTTACTTGCCCTGTTTATGTGTGCAATTATTTAGTATACCCGCAAAAGCTGTCCAGGCAGTGCATTTGAAATGCCCCTGTAGCTAACAAGAAACAAAACTTGGGGGGCACCTTAGACCTTTGACTTGGCTTGTCTGGAGGTTTTTAGATACCATGATGTGGATGAGACTGTAAATAATAGCATTCCTGTGTTAATAGTCACAAGCAAATAGCCCTGAGGTGAGGGTGTATGTGCAGAGTGAGAGAATGGTGGCTAGGTAGTGATTTTTATGATGTGCCACACAATATGGTGCTTTTCCTTTGCAAACTGCAAGCTCTTGTGGAGTGCAGCAAAATCTCAGTTTCCATTTAGAGGAAAGCATCAGTTGTGTGAGAATGATCAGCTTGAAAACATGGACTCTGACGTTCAAGAACCAGAAATCTCCTAAAAGCCTTGAAATAGGAGTGATGGGGTGGTTCCCTATTATGAGTGATAAGTGTTGATAGTAGAGTGAGTATTTCCATGCTTTAGTACCTACAGTTGGTATAATTTCTGAGTAACGCTTAGTGAAGGGACTGTTCCAAATCACACCCCCAAGCAAATGTCAAAACTCCCCTGTGACCAGAAGAAAGGGTTAAGTCTGATTGGAGACTAGACGTGCTTGATTTCCCGAACTGTATTGATGATAGACTTGCTTTTTAAATGGTATGGCTGCTGGTATGGCTGCTCAGGAATGACCTATTTACACCACGTTCTGTCTTAACAACTGTACTTTGAATGCATTTTTTTGTTTTTTTTTATTAACCAGAAGTGGTCCTTAATATATTTAATATTTTTAGTGCCCTACAGATACCAAAGCAACGTTTGGGGTCCACGTAAAAATAGTAGGAGACTGGACAGGTATGTAGAAAAACAATTCCTTTTCAGAGACAAATACCTTTACTTGAACTGTTCTCCCTTTCTGGCTCCAGCACAATTGCTCCTTGACTGTGGTGTATTCTCTCTAGAGATTGTTCATGCTTGTTTTTCCAAAGTTGTTTTTATTACATTCTTGATGCAACCTCTGCTTTATTCAGATGTACCATTTCTTCAGATAACATGTTTTTCCAACTACTAACAGATCTTCTGATTGCACTGTAATAATTTTCAGTGTTCCTCCATTTCTGCCTCTTTTTCTTATTTTTGGGTAGCCCACTGCCCCTGTGCAGTGCAGCGCCTCTGTGTGTAGTAGCGTCTGCAGAAATCCTGAAATGTGCAGCTTCCAGATAAGCGGATTTTGATGCCAGCAGTTTGGATGGCAGCCAGGTTAATTAATGCCTATGGTACACCGAGATTACAGGTTTGCTTTCATGTTCTTCCATGCTCTTCCACTGCTCTTTGAATGTCCTCCAGATCAGGGGTGTAAGCCAGGATTCCCCACAGAGGAGAATGGTAATTTGGTGCTCCCTGTAACAGTTGTATGCTCAAGTGATAGTTGTCATTATTCCTTGGCGGCTGACTTTTTTCCTGCTTAGCATAGCATTTCCTTGTAAGGAAGACAAATACACAGCACTGTCTGCTTCATTTCTTATGAAGAAATATTTTCCGTGCTAATTTGTATCAGCTTGTGTGTTTGTGGAATTGAGTCAAATGAGCTTGTAGCCCTAAAAAGGATTAGACCAATGCAGGGATAATAAGTCTGTGAATATTTGTTGAACTTTCTGGTCTGGCTACGTACTTGCCTGTGGAAGACTTCAGTAGGCAAAAGTTGTGAGGGCAATGCCATATGTGCATATGTTTCATAATCACCCTGATTTTCTGTTCTTGCTTGAAGTATAGGATGTTGGCTAGACAGGGGCAGATTATGGGCGCAGTTAGCCTCTGTTTTGCCTCAGAATGATGGCTCTTTTGTTGTTAAGCAGCATTTCTAGATGGGAGAGGGCAGTAGGCTATTTTGGAGAGTGTAATGGAGAAGTAATGGCTAAATGAGCTCTCCAAAATAAGTGGCATCTTTAAAGTTTTCTGATTACCTATGTGGTATGAACTGCTCTCTATTAGCATTTAAATATTATTCAGCCAACTCAGTATTTATAGTCTCCACTGAGAGAAAGGTCTACCTATGTTGGACTGTATGAGATTTAGGACACTGTCACATTACAGAGACCATTTATTGTAGTAGTTGCTAAAGAGAGAGATCTCTCCCACAGTGAAATGTGCTGTTGAGAAGCAGATGGTTTACCCAACTCTTTATACTGCACTAGTACCATGGAGCCGTGTTGTCACTCGCTCCCTTAAGCCCTGTGACAATTAGTGATCTCTAATCTGCTGACTGTTTGAGGAAGGATTATTATATTTTTCCACATTCCTTATTATCCTTCTTAAGCATGCTCTAAAGGCTGCTTCTGCAGGCAGGATATTAGATTGGAGGAGTTTTTATGAGACGTACTGTCATTTGAGCTCTTCTCCTGACCTATTCTCTCAGCCTTTATCCTATTTATTAAAATTCTCCTTTGTATCACATTTTCACATTCCTGACAGTTTATACCTGACACCAAAGACACTTAGCGATTTATTTCAGAGAACTCAATTACAAGCCTAAATTAAAAGGATGCAAGAGGAGCACAGACCTGTCCTGAAATGCAGAGAAGAACTGTTTAGTTTCTCCTCTGGATGGTTTTAGCTTCTGCTGTCTGCACCTGGGAGATGTGGTGAAGTAGCAATTTCCTGCCATGAGCTGTAAGGACAGGAGTGGGGATACAGATTGCTGGCAAACCAATTCTGCAAGTTGTTTCAGGTCAAGTCTCTTAAAACAAAGTCTTATGTTTTGAAAATTAATTAGAATATCTTGTAGCCTTAATGACTTTGTTTTGTAGGTTGGGAAAGCAACTGTATGTCAAGAGAAAAGATAAGGGGTGTAATAGTATTTTCAGCTACTGATGAGAAGGTGCTGTTGATGGGAAGTCATTTATTGCCCAAATCCCAGTACATATCATTTTAATTTCCAATCGAATAAGCTGAAAGAAGTGACTTTTGGAAAAGTTAGTCACTCTAGAAATAATGCTTTGCATAGGAGCACACATTTAATAGATTTTCAGGCAATAGTGTTATTTGCTTTTTAAAATAAATTATTTGAATAATGAAAAATGTAGGAGAGAAAAAGTAGGGTAGAGAGGAAGAAACCTCAGAAGCGATAGTTCTGAGACCTTTGCAAACAAAATGGTAACTCAGATCCCCTTTTTCGTTCACCACTCAAATGAAATGGTGCTATCTGAGCTTAGAAGAGCTCAGAATCTGCCCTTTTCAGAAGCAGATTTGGATAAAGGCAAAAATTTTCCTCCCATTCCTTTTTCAATACAAATCTGAGATCTTCTATTTCTCACCTGTTTTGTGGTGGTATTGGTAACTGTATAGTGTTTAACTTTCATGTTCATCACAGAAAACAGACACACAAGCACTGGTATTGCTGTAACGTGCCCTCAGATGCCCGTAGCAGACAGTTTCACCTGAAATACTTCCCATAACTCCCTTTCTAGACCTCTGACCTGTTTATGTGTCTAGTTTTGGATGAGACAAGCCAGGCCTCAAGCATGCCTTTTTCTCTTCAATCATTGTTAAGAGTCTAGATATATACATCACTGCCTCAGAGGTAGTTAGTTTAATTAACTGACAACTGGTTGTGATTTTTCCCATGTAAAGGTTCCTAACTTTATTTTTCCTTCTGTCTTTTGCCATATGCCATGGGTATTGTGACTATTGGAACAGCTATTATAGATCTCCCTAAAGAGAGGATCATATAATTTTTTGATCATATAATTTTTTGATCATATAATTTTTTGATCATATAATTACTGTCCTTGTACTGATGTGTGACTGCTTAAGTCAGAACCTATCGTTTTAGCAAAACATTCTGTGGCACTGTGAACCCATGGCTGTAGAACACAGCTTAATTCCCTGTCAGTACTTAGACACCTGAGTTACAGTGTGTTTACATCATCTGACCTGTGGTGTTTGCACACGTGCAGGTTGGGTTAGCCCCATGGCTCAGAGCTAAGTCAGCCTGTCTTCCTCTGTGACTACTTGGCAGTTGTCCCAGCTGAGCTGGTGAATGGCAACTTCAAATCATAGAGTAACATTGAGGGCCCTACAATGACTCATACACAGGTCAGAGCTGTGAGATCCATGGCTGAGCTAATAAGCTGATCTTGTTCCTGGCCTCCCCTCTAAATAGTTGTTTTGTTCTGCTTCTCCTGTGTCTCTGTGATCACCTATTTTTCCTTCAGCTTTGAGACAATTGCTGGTTTGGTATTTACAAAAGGTTTTTTTTTAGGTTTCTTTTGTCTCTCTGTCTAGTTTGTCCTCAGAGCTGTCATCTAATCAGCCTTATGCCTCCTCTGTCCTTGCTGCTGCCTCAAGTACTACTACTTGCTTAGTTTTAAAGCTGACGTTTCATCTGGCATCTCTGGAGGGAAAAAGAGAGGCCAGGGGCCATGCCTTGCATTCAACAACTTGACAGCAGTGAAAAAAAACACGGCAGTGTATCAAGACAATGTATGTCGTTCACTAGATAAGCTTCAGGGTGTGAGACATAAAGTGATATTGATGATGCAGAAGTAACAGGCTTCAGAAACCATGCAGCATGTTTTTATGGAAAGCAAATACAGAGCACTCAGAGGTGTTGAGGTGAGCTGCATGCCTCAAGGCAGTAAAACATTGCTGTTATGTTGCAGTGTGTTGCTGGTACAACTTGATGTGAGACCGTGTTTAGAGCACTGATGCTGTTCTATGCTCTACAGTAATTTTATCTTGTAGTAGTGACATCATCCTGCTGTGTAGCTGTGTATGATCCTGGAGACGTTCACAGGGCCTGTCCTGAGCAGCATGATGTTTATTGTGGGAATGCCGTATGAGCACCTTAATAGCACCCATTGAATCTGATAGTTGTGTCCTATAGGTTACTAAATGTCATGGCAGTGGGAGGTGGTGATGTGTGCTGAAACTGTCCAGCTACAGGGAGAACAGACAGATTATGGGGCACCGATCTGCATCACCCTAATAAACTCCAAGTCTCATCAGAAAAGGTGTATCTTTGCTTAATTCTTTGTGCTACAAATGAGGATATGCATGGTCACTAGGTCATTTAGGTACAGACTACCTTATTTTGAATCCTGATGTGGTATGATGGAAATTTTTGTCAGATATTGTCACAGTTCTTTTTTCTGGAAGGTCCATATTTAGAGCTGGAAGTTTCAGGGGGAAAAAACAAACAAACCATTTTTCAGTTAAAAACAACAATTTTCCAGAACATGGCAAATGTATGAAAGTATGGACCTTGTTTAACTCCCTGTGGATTAAGACCTGAGACAGCAAACAGTACACACCCCAATTTTCTTATTTTTAAACAGAAAAAAAAAAGAAGGCGGTTGTTTGCAATTTTGGAGGCTAAGGATTTTTTTTCATGTTCACTAGAAGAAAATAAACATACTTTTTAAGTGACTCTGAAGGAAGAATGATTTAAACTTTCTAGTCTGGGAGGGCTTGTTGGGAGTATCTGCATGACCTTGTTAAGCCCTTGCAGCTCCTGATTTGGAGGATGCCTGAATCATCCCAAGGCTTGTTGTGCATTGCTGCGCTTACCTGGAATTTATCAGCAAGTATAGGATCTAGCAAAGAGGTGATATTTCATTTCCAGTAACCCTGAGGACAGTGTGAGATGTACTGAAGTAGTGGATCACTCAGTCAGTATCTACTGTATTGTTAGTAGATCTTGATTCAGACTGGAAGAATGTGTGGAGTAGAAGATGACAAGAAGGAATGGTAAGATGACAAAGTCGGCCTGCAGGATGTGACAAGGCTGTCCCAGGTTCTTTAAAAATATCTGCTCACTGGTGATGAACAGTTGGTCAACTCTTGCTATTATCTCA